AACCGGAAAGCTTTGTTCGCAGTGAATGTACAACTACGAAGAATTAATGTGGACGAAACAGGGTACAAGGTTTATGAAAGGACTACCGGAAATAAAAAAGCAGTTGAAATCCTCTAAGTATAAAGTTTTTTTAAATGTAAAATGCATTTTCCACGCGTTTCAATATCACCCGACCTGCCACAGACTTCTGATCAGATTTATTTATTATTCCATCATCGGTAGTAGTATATCCTGTGCCAATTACGTAAGTGGAAGTCATGTTTACTGACAAAGTTTGACAAGCGATGACGTGTCATGGATGCCTAACATTCCCTCATCGGAAAATTGAGACATGTATAGGTCTGTTGGTGTTCTGGTTCACTTTCAGTTAAACGGCATTTCTGTCACAAAGTGACGAGATTATGACGCCTTGCGGTAAGCATATTGAAGTAACCTGGAGAGCTACCAGATACTCCAGAAAAAAAGCCCATACAAAGCCTTAGAAAAGTTTTCTAAGGCTTTGTATGGGACAACGGGAGGTACTTACAGTGCACGCGTTTTCCGTCCTGCCATGTGCACATAACTGACCAACATTCTTTGGCTCTGGGGGATTCTTGATTGCATTTACCTTTGCTGCCATAGGATGGATACTGTCCCCGGTGATAACATACCCACAGTATGTGAGTGTGGGCTGCATGAACAGGCATTAAATTTTGTGAAGTTGCAGCTTTAACCCTTCTGTGGAAATCCTATCAAGCACCCTCTCAAAATTAGCTTGGTGCTTTAAAAGGCTTCTCCTAATCAGTAGCTCCGTATTAGTAGCTCGGTATTAGTATCTGCGTATCAGTGAATCTGCATCAGTTGCTCTCTATCAGCATCTCCGTCATAGCTCGGAGTCAGTATTTCCTTATCAGTAGCTCAGTGCTGGTAGCTCTGTATCAGTAGCTCCTTATCACTAGCTCCTGTACATGTATGAGTAGTTCCATATCGATAGCTTGGTTTTACAAACTCCGTTTTAGTAGCTTCGTATTTTTCACTCCTTTTCAGTAAATCCAGTAGCTCCAGAGTTAGACTAGAGTTGTAACTCCGTAACAGTAGCTCTAGATTCTCTGTTTCAGCAGTTCTGGCATAGCTTGGCATATGTAACTCGGTATCAGTAGCTCCTTATCAATAGCTCCATTTTAGTAACTCTATATCAGTAGCCTCTAATCAGTTACTCCGTCTTAGTGGCTCCGTATCATTAGCTCTGTATCAGAAGGTCCTTATCAGCAGCTCCATTCTGGTAACTCCGTAATAGTAGCTGTGTATCAGTAGCCGTATATCAGTGACTCCTTAACCAATAGCGCCATACAAGTATCTCTATTAGAGTAGCTCCATATCAGTGACTTTGAATCGGAAGCTCTGTATCATTAGCTCCATATTTGTTGCTCGTTATCTGCAGCTCTATATTAGTAGCTCTCCTATCGCTAACTACGGATCAGTAGCTCCATATTAGTTACTCGTGTTAGTAGCACCGTATCGGTTCCTCCGTATTAGTAGCACCTGTATTAGTAGCTCCGTATCAGTAGCACCTGTATTGGCAGTTACAAATAGGTAGCTTTTTTTAGTAGATTCGTATCATTGGTTCCTTTTTAGTAGCTTGAAATGAATAACTTTGTGGCAGAAGCTCCGTATTAGTAGCTTCGTATAGGTTGCTTCCGTCTCAGTAGCTCTGTATCAGAAGCTCCTGCATCAGTATCTGTGTTAGTAACTCTATATCAGTAGCTTCTTTTTAGTGGCTTGTAATAAGTAGCTCTGTGCATGTAGTTGTAGCTCAATATTATTAGCTTCGCATAGATTTTTCCGTATCAGTAACTCTGTTTTAGAGGCTCCTGTATCGATAGCTCTGTATTAGTAACTACTTATCATTGTTCCGTGTAAGTAGCTCCGTATCAGTTGCTCTGTATCAGTTGCTCTGTATCAGTTGCTCTGTATCAGTTGCTCTGTATCAGTTGCTCCGTATCAGTAACTCCGTATCAGTTGCTTCGTGTCAGTTGCTCTGTATCAGTTGCTCTATAACGTTGCTCTATAACGGTAGCTTCGTATTAGAAACTCTGTATCGGTAGCTCCGTATCAGTAGCTCTGTGCAGTAGCTCCGTATCTAATAGCCTTGTATCAGCAGCTCCCTGTTAGTATCTCGATATCTATAGCCCCATATCATTTTCCGTGTACCAGTAGCTCCATATCGATACCTCCGGAACAGTATCTTTGTGTTAGTGGCTGGATATAAGTAGCTTCCTGTCGGTAGGTCTGTATCGGCTGTTCCTTATCAATAGATCTTGTGTTACTAAGTACTACAATACTAGCTCTGTGAGAGTAGCTCTGTATTAGTAGCTGGGCATCAGTTCTTTCGTAACGGTACATATCAGTAAGAGCCTTATTTATAGCTTCATAATAGTAGCTTCGTTGAAGTAGCTTCTTATCAGTAGCTGCGTATCAGTAACTGTGTATCAGTAGCTCCTTATCAATAGCTTCATATTAGCAGCTCCACATCAGTAGCTTTTTGTATCAGGAGCTTCGGTAAAAGGAGCTCCAAATTATTAGGTGCTCCGTTTTAGTACCCTTTTATCAGTAGTTTCGTATGAGTAACTCCGTATCAGTAGCTACTTGTTAGAAGCTCCGTATTAGTAGCTCGTTATTAGAGGCTTTGTATGAGTACCTCCTGTATTTGTAGCTCGGTATCGGTAGTTTCTCATTAGTAGTTCAGTATCAGTAGCCCGTGTATCAGAAGCTCTGCATTAGTAGCACGGTATCAGCACATCTGTAATAGTAGCTCCCTATTGGTAGCTCTGTATCCGTGGCGCCGTATCAGTATGTCCTGTATCAGTAGTTCTGTATCAACAGCTCTGTATCAGAAACTCCGTATCACTAGATCCGTATCAGTAGCTCCGCATGGTTAACGGAGTATGAGTAGCTCACTATCACTAGCTCTGCGTTAGTGGCTATGTTCGAGTAGATCCTTTATCCGTGGCTCGGTATCGGTAGCTTCTAATTAGTAGCCCTGTATTAGTCGCTTTGTATAAGTAGCTTCGTATTAGTGGTTCCTGTGTTAGTAGCTCCATATTAACAGCTAGGTATCCTTAGCTACTTTACAGTTGAACGTCGATTTGACGAAGTACCAAGGGGCTGGGGAAATTGGTTCGTTTTAACGGGGGCTCGTTATATCGAAAACCTCGATTTAACGAATTTGCGGAACAACCAAAATGTTCGTTATACCGAGATATGCTTAATAATTGCTTTTTTTCTGGTGTGACGTTGCGCTACATAGCATTCTGGGATCACAACGATTACTGTAAATAACATTTAGTGCTTTCGCGTTTATTTGGAGAATTATTTTGAA